CATTTTCACAGTTTTGTCATGGACTGTTGTTGCTGATAATGACATATCTTGAATTATCTGTAAAATTTTTGTCCTTGCTGTGAAACTCACCAAATAGTTCTTGACCAATTTTTAGCATGCATCTCTTCACATAATCCCTGTCAGTGAAAGGCTTCCACTCTCTAATAATGCTGTATGAGCCCATAAAACTTGTGGAGTTTAAGCTCCCACCTTTTTATGACCATACCAGTAGGCTATTTTGTCCAATGTTCATTTTTTGCTGCAGCTCCTCACAGGCTTTTTTCGTGCATGACCCTGAGGTATTTTGTAGGAAATGCTGCAGGTTTTGTCATAGTTCTTGTTTGTTTGAGAACAGTCTCACACTACAAATGAGACAGTGTGGCTACCCAGGCCTATCCACAAATGCATACAAGTCTGTCCACTCCTTTTGAAAATTTTGGTACTCATTATCTCTTTCTCTTCACCATTTTTACTTTGTGGGGCTCAGAGTTAATCATTACATATGATGATGGAGAGATTTCATTACCAATCAACTAAAAAGAGAATATGCACGATCCCCAATGAGTGGAAGGGTGTCTGATTGTTAAAATGAAAAGTTAAAGGTGAAATAGATTAAAAACATAATCTTGACATGAGTAATTATGCCTTTAAAAATTTTGAATTAATTTTTCATTTTAAATTGTGTGTATTTTGGGAATGACAAAAGAACCATATTTGGTTCAATATTGAGCCATATTTGGCTCTAGCGCCATAGGTTTCAGACCCCTGCATTGTTGGATGCTTACCCACATTGCTTTGATCTTTCTGTTGATGGGGAGCTAACAATGTGGTTGTGATATGTTGACAGAGGGTGGCATGATTTGTTGACTTCCTTTCTGGCGATTTCTGAATGTTGATAGTACTTTTGTCACCGAATCTTTCTAGTATAGATATAGTCTAAAACTTGCAACATGGTAATTGCTGTTAAATTTCTTTCTCCAGTGATGTATTAAATGCTACTACTCTCGTGCCAAGAAACTTGAATGTGCAATCTTGTTGCGTCTCTTTCCAAGTACATTTTCAAGTAAACTTATCTCTGTTTTGAACTGATGTTTGATATAATGTTTGAAGACTGAATGCAAAATGTCATTTAGCAATTTGGATTTCGCTTAAAAGCACAGCTGATTTCTTTGGCCCTTGAATCACAAGCTCACTGAGGTAATCCGATGTATTCTAGCATGTTTTTCAATATTTCATATGCAATAGTTTACAGTGCATGAGTGTAGTTTTTTTCCATAGACCAAAAGCTGTGGATGTGTATATAAACAAACAAAAATAATAGCATAGGCAATATAAATAGAGTAGAAAATTGTATAGCAGGCACATTGATATATTAAAGTAATGTTAAAAGGATCTCCTCAGGTACGATGGCCCTCAAGTGTAACTTTCAAAGCGTTGTTCTATGTTCTGGATATTCAGGATCACAGCAAATTTTCCCTGCTAACAATGCATCCCACTTTGTATGTTTTTCTTGAAAGGACTGTATTAATATCTTTCTCACTCTGTCTAATGTGTGCAAGGCAGAACTGGGACTCAGAAAACATGGTCTGTCAGTAATGTCGGCAAGGGAAGGCACAGCCTTCCCAAAACTGCCTAAATGACCAATTGCCTAAGCACTGGGACTGCTGCTTCAGTGCGGCAGCCTGGCACTCCCTGCCTCCCCGGGAAGGCTGGTACCATAGCATAGCAGCCCGGCTCTCCCCGACCCACAGGAAAGCGTGGCTTTCTCTTGCCATAGGATTGGGCTGCAGGTGGTCGGGGCTTGGTTCCGGGGGTGGTCAGGGCTAGGTTCCAGGGATGGGACTGGGACTTGCCTTTCTCAGCTGGGTTTTCATGTGATACCCATGTCAGGAAAACAGTTCTGCTCTTGGTGCTGCTACTAATCATCTGGGTGACTTTTCTCTCTTTTCTGTTTTGTGCTTCCATCTCCACTCCTGGCCCTGTCTCCTTTCCCAACTTTCTCAGCTGTTGACTGACTCCCAGCCTTCTCTGTGCATCCATCCGTGTTTGCGTCCGTCCGTTTGTGCGTACGTACAGATATAAGCGGGGGTGAGGTAAAAGTTTGGAGACCACTGGGCTAAGATCCTCCTGGAAAGCCAATCAAGCGTAGCATCCCCATTATAGTGAAATATAAAAATGCAACAAGATGAACACCCATACATGTGCCTACATTTGTATCAGTTTTGCAAGGTCAGGACTAGATCCTGCAATTAGCTCTAGGAATTCAGATGACTACTCCCTCATGGGAGTTCATTGAAGTGAGTGGGATTTTGTGAAGACTCAGGGTGTGTCTAGACTACAGGGTTTTGTTGACAAAAGTGGCCTTTTGTCAACAAAACTAAACTTGTGTCTACACTACCGCTGAGTTCTGTCAATGTAAGGTTGACAGAACTCAGCAGTTTTGTCGATGGCGGTAAACCTCATTCTACGAGGAATAACACCTTTTGTCAACAGAGTTCTGTCGACAGAAGGCGTTATTGCAGCTACACTGTCCTTTGCATCTCTACTGTCATGTCGACAAAGCGGCTTGCTTTGTTGATGGAACTGGATGTAGTCTAGACGCTCTTTGTCGACAGAAGCTTTGTCGACAGTATCTGTCAATAAAACTTCTGTCGACAAAAGCCTGTAGTCTAGACATACCCCCAGGGATCTATTTAAACAGATCCAGATTCAGGAACAAGATCAGTAGATTGTAAATTTTGGAGGAAGGTTTGTAAGAAACTTGTATACCGTGTAAGAACCTTGAAATATCTTTGTAGGATAATGCAACAATTTGAAAGTTGATGATGCTTCACAAATATGACAGGGCTTCTAACAGAGAAGCATGTTTTCCCCTTCTAGTCTTAAAGTCATGTACTAATTTCAGAGTCATGATTTTTTTTAACTCCACTTTGTACATTTCATAGCATACAGTTTAATGCATAGCCTTTACTTTACTAAAGTAAGATGAAGGAATTATTAGATTTTTGTTCGTTAATGTTAGTAAACATTGATTTATCTAATTGTTGCCTAGCTATCCCAAATGATAAACATAAAAAGCTTAAAACCCATTAATTTTGCACAACTGTGAAAATTAAATTTGATTAAAATAGAAAAATGCTTAAATAAACATCAGTATTTGAATTTATTAAAAGCAAATAAAAAAAATTGAATTCTGCCAACCGTAGCTATAGTGCTAAGAGAGTAAGTACGATGAGGTTTTAGAATAACTTCGCTATTTTTTCCCCCTTTATGGAAAAGTCAACAATTATCCAAAAATCTTATCAAATGACTTCAGTATGATAGGCTATTCAAAAGCCTGCAGCCTCTGCAGCAATCAGTAACTAGAATGGCTGATTATTTTTTGAGTTTCTCTTTCCAACCTAGATGTTTTTAGTGAGGGGGGGGAAAAATAACTTATTCTGTGTCTAACTTGCCATTTTTTAAGGCCATTGGAGAGACACTTTATATCTTTTTAAGACCATGGTCTCCAACCCTTTTTAAGCATGAGATCACTTTTTGAATTTAAGTTCAATCTAGGATCCACCTCAAACCCAAACACTCTTGCCCTGCCTCCTTCCCTCCCCTTCTCCAAGGCCCTGCCTCTGCTCACTCCATCCTCCCTCCATCTCCCACCCTTGCTCACTTCTATCAGGCTTGGGGGTAGAGGGTTGGGGTGCGAGGGAGGGGAATGTGGTCTCTGATCTTGGGCTAAAGGATTTGGAGTGTGGCAGGGGGTCTGAGCTAAGCCTGGGATAGGGAATTGAGGTGCAGGCTCTGGGAGGGAGTTTGGGTGCAAGGGAACTTAGGGCTAGGGCAGGTGTTTGGGGTGCAGGAGGGATTCAGGACCGGGGCAGAGGTTTGGAATTCAGGCTCCGTCTGGGCACTGTTTACCACAGGTGGTTTCTGGGTGGTGCTGCAGTGGGGCTAAGGCAGGTTCACCCATCCCCTGTCCCTGCACCACTCCCAAAAGCAGCCAGCAAACTCTCTCCATCCCTGCCCCCTCTGCTCTGTGGAGATGAGGTACAGGATGGAGAGAGGGGCACCCTGACATCAGCACCCCCCCCTCCTCCTCTTGTGCCTTTCGGCCAAACCTGTCATGATCACCGGACACAGACTCCAAGATCTACCAGTAGATCCCGATCCACTGGTTGGTGACCATTGTTTTTAAGAGTTCAAACCAAATAGTTTCAGAATATCTGCACTCTGACCGCTGATAGTACTGATACATGGACTAGATCATGTTGTTTTGATCTGTAGAATAAATATTGAATTTTGGTTTGGGCTTCCCCATCACAGGCTGATTACTAGAGCTCTTACTGTGTCCAGAAAGGTTAAAGTTGCTGCTGGTTTTAACCATTCAAAATTTCTCAATAGCCTTAAATGACTTAAACTCAGATTTTATTGGATTCTTTTTCTCAGGGAAAAAAAGCGGATGGATTAATTTGCTTTTGTAGTAGAACTGGATGGATGTCATGTGGCTGGAAGATTAAGTCCTTTTATTTTTAAAACAGTTGCTAGGGTATTTAAACCCTTCATTTTTATCCCTATTTCCTGGTTTTAGTTTTTTTTGGGGGGGGGCTTTTTTTTATAGTAGCAAAACAAAGAAATAACTTTTTTATTCACTTTAAAAAAGGAATCTATTTGTTTCAAAGCTGACATGAAAAAATAAGATTGTAGTTACTCTTCTAGTGTGGAGTAAGGAGAAAATAGGCAGCTATTATTGAATCAATTTCACTATTGTTAAGAATGTAAATAGTGGCAACAGTTGGGGGTTTATCTGTGAATGTCTCACTTTTTTAAATAAAATTGAAAAAAAATTCATTATTGGAGTAATAAACTCTGGCAGACAAACAATGTCTGCTTCTGTTGAAGCAAAAAGAAATCCACTGTTTTCCCTGTGAAAGTATTGCTTATACATGTAACTATGCAACTGGATCATGTTCATCTTTTTTTTTTTTTACTTTTTTTTTTCTTTGCAGAGTATCGGAAAGGGGTCCTTGTGGTGTATAGACCCAGAATATAGACAAAATCTCATTCAGGCTTTGAAAAAGACACCCTATCACCCATATTCACATGTGTTCAATACACCTCCCACATCTCCTCAGGCATATCAAAGGTAAGAAATCTAGAACGCCTTTCTATTAAGCTGCACTTCTGACTCTTTGAATGAATGTAACTAATCACAATAGTTATAACAACATTGTAGTGAACAAAATATTAAAGTATAATGAGTTATTCAATCCTTTGCGTAATCTACAGTATTCCTTACCCATTTGATCTCTTTGATGGCAACGTGTTGATCCTAATAAATCCATGGACTGGAAGTAGCAGTAATTCCGTGGATAATTTACAAAATTTCTCCTCAAAAGCAAAATAGAAAATGAATATAGGCAAAAGCAACTGGGAAGTTTTAAAATATTAGTTTGTCCTGTTTCATTAAATAAAAATATGATTCTAGCATGCACGGTGCTAGTGAATTATTTTCTCTTGAGCTTGGCTGCGTAATATTTAAGACTGTGTGTTGTCAGTGCAACTGTCAAGTATCCATGTAAACCGCACATCTAGGTGATTTAAAACTCTTTTTGTTGTGGTTACAGGCTAGATGAGTGCATGTGTTTGCATAGCTTTGAAATAAATATAGTAGAGAACAATGGAGGCTTTCATTCTCATTTAGTAATGAACTAGGTGTGTTTATCTGTCCATTGCTTAAAAGTGAAGTGTTTGCTGCTAGGAGCAAACATTTAAGATAGTGACCCACAAAGTAGTAAAGGTTCTCAGTAGATGTGCTTGTCTTTTAACTGCTAATATAGAACCTACATTTTAAAATGTTCTAGCAAATCTTGGTTTGATCAGAAATGCCTTTTTGTTGCTAGGACCTTGTGAAATGCTTATATTAAGCCCCATAAAATCAACAAGAATTTTTTTTAGTCAGACTTCAGGAGTATGCCTGCTCCTAGCATTATGGATTAATGAGTGGTTTTTTGATGACTTTTGTCTTTTTTCAGCACACACTTTTAAAAATACGAGTCTAACATTTGTCCGACAGGAAAGTGGCAATGCACAAAGTGATTTCTTTCAAGTAACATTAATGAAGTTCTTGTGCATCTCTGCTGAGCAGTGCATTCCATCACATGGCCAGACAATCAATCTTCACTCAGAGATTGGGAAGAACAGCTGGGCTTTCGCAGGAGACTGCTGTATGTCTGCCCTTGCTAGGCGATTAGCGTGATGGTAACCATAGTAACTGGAATGTCTCTATAGCAACGCATAGCTGAGACAGGTGCAGTTGCATCACAAGGCTGTTTGTTGCCTGGCAAAAGGACAGGCCATTAGATATATGCTGTTGCCTTAGTAACATAACCCTACTTAGCAGTACAGTTGGCTTAAAACTTTTTTAAAAAAAAAAGCATACTGTACCTGTTTTTGTCTGTTCTTGTATCGATCAACAGAATCATGTGTTATATGAGCTGACAGGTCATGTAGGTTTAAGAGATAAATTATAATGTGGGATTTACTGAAGCAAAGGAGTAAAAATGCAGCAGAGGACCCAGTATTTGTTAGAGTAACATATTTACAGCTCCAATATTAAACATCTTTTTTTGTATTCCCAAACCATCCTCTCAGTGAGATAGGCTTTCCGCTTTACTTGTGTCTACTTGTGTCTCCTTGATTTTCATCAAATGCATCCAGGTTCACGCATGATCAGGTTCATGCAAGCATTCAAGCTAAATGACTAATCACATGTTTTTAAAATTTTGAATTAATTTTTCCTTTTAATTTAAGAAGTTGCATGTATTTTGGGAATGACATAAGAGCCATGTTTGGTTCCATACTTAGCCATATTTGGCTTGAGAACCATAGGTTTCAGACCTCTGTGCTGAATAGCGGTGGCTGGGAAGGTTATAATGTTAACATATATTAAGCTCGAACAACTCAAAGGAAGACTTTATTTCCTTTTGAAAACAATGAATTTCAAGCTTTTACACTTCATGTACTATACATGCTAACCCTTTTACTATAGCAGTGGGGTCTCCTGGTTTCATCTTAAGGGTGCCTTTATAAATAAATAACTTACTTCACTAGGGTGTAAAAGTTTTTCAAAGAAAGAAGAGCTTCATATCCTATTTCTTTCATTGAAACATTGAAACTTTCTCATTGCTCTTTTTAGCAGTGAAATTGTTTAGTAGTTAAAGTACTTCAAGGCTTAAGAAAAAAATAATCCTTTTGTGGTCTCCTAAAATGTTTACCAGATTTATACCAGTCTTGCTATTGTGAATTTGCAATAGCATTATGATTTAAGGACAACACAAGGGCGAACTAGGGCATCACTGAATACTGAATTAGTGTAACCATACACTGGAAATCACAAAATTCTAGTCTAAATAGCAGATTGTTAAATTGACTGGATATGTATATAACGTTTGAACATTCACTCTGCAGCTAAACATTTAGATGTACAGAGAGAAGAAAACCTTGTATAAGTCTTAAGACTTTTGAGAAATCTTTTAAAAAGGTATAAATCCTATTCTGCATCATTACTGGACCAAAGAGCTAAATTAGCAAAGGCCATATGTGGCCAAGCTCCATGACAGCCCATAAACTTTAGGTGACTGCAGTCCACAATAAAGAGAAATTATGTTGCCTGAAATTAATAATATGCATCTTGAATGATTTAATTCACCAATATTAAAATGCCTTGGGGGTGGGGGAGATGAACAGAAGTACAAGTGTTGTAAGTCTCAGTGAAGTGGAAGGTGAGGAGCTCATACGGGGGGGTTGGGGAGCCTCAGGGCAGACGGCTGGGAGGGAGGGGGGAGGCTCTAGGCAGGAGGCTGGGGGTTGTGGGAAGTGCAGGAGTCAGAGCAGGGGGCCGTGGGAGTTAAGGGGATTGTAGGGGTGTCTGGATCACCTATCTGGCTGTTTGCTGCACTGCAGCTTCTGTTAGCTGTCCCATGGCTCCTTTTCACTGCCAAGAGAGCTGAAAGGTAACTGTGTGGGGCACTGCTATGGGAAAATGGGTGGGGGCGGAAGGGAGTGTGAGAACCCCATGGCTTGCTGCTCCCATTCCCTAGCTTCTTCCTAGGGGCCATTGGCAGTAGGGATGTAAGCAAGTAGTCAAGACTACTCACTTACCCCCCAGCTCCTCACCTGTATCAGAGGCAGCAAGAGGAGGGGAAGCAGGAGCCAGCTCCACTCCCTGTGCTGCTGCCTGTATCAGATGCAGCAGCCTGGAGGAGGGTGGTCAGGGGAGGCTGCAGCGAAGAAGCCTTTGCTTCAGGTGGGTCCAGGCTTTCCACGGCACAGGCTGTTCCGCATTTCATGGAGCAGCAGCAGAAGCTCGTGTCCACAGGGGATCCCAGTAGGGAGCTGGGACCCTCCCATGGACTGGGACTGCTCCAGCCAGGCAGGCAGCCCAGCTCGGTTCCGGCTTATGCTGGGCCTGGGACCAAACCCTGTTGCAGCTCTGCAGTTTAAAACGCAGTCGGTGCCAGGCAGCCTGCCCTCTGGCTCCTATTGTGCTTTAAATTGCAGAGCTGCAGCTGGGTTTGGTCCTGGATCTAGTGTGAACCAGGACTTAGCCGGGCTGCCTGCCAACTAATCGAGTTGTCAATGAAAATTCTAGCGACTACTCGATTAATAAATTAACTTCATTTTAACATCCCTAGTTGGCAACAGCACACCTGGGATACACTGGTGTCCAGCAAGAGAAGGGGCAGTAGGATAGATGTGGGTGCATCTGCAGCCCATCTAGGAACACAATTGCCTTCTATAGTGCACTCCCAGCTGGTCCTTCTAAACCAGAGGTAGGCAATAATTTTGATGGGAGGGATCTACACCAAGATTTTGGAGAGTGGTCAAGGGGCGCACTCTTTCATGGTTTTAATGGAGGAAGTGTGGGGTCTGGGAAGCAGTTTGGGTGAAGGAGGCAGTTGGGACCTGGGGCTGGAGTGCAGGAGGGGGGTACAGGGATTTGGGTTGAGATCTAGGGCAGAAAGGGGTTGGGACTTGGGGCAAGAGCTTGGGATGCAGGGGTTTTTGTTGTGACCTAGGGCAGGGGACTGGAGGGCAGGGGATTGGGAGAAGGGAGGGGGGCAGAGGGTTTGGTGTATGTGGGCTAGGGGGACAGGTATGAGGTGGCAGAAGGGGGAGAGAGAAGTGGGGATGCCAGAGACAGGCTCTGGCTGGGAGACTTACCTGAGTAACTCCCGGCCAGCAGCCTAGCACATTCCTCAGGCAGCCTCCCTGCCTGCTCGCTGCTGCACAGTCTGCAGGGGCCATTTGTTTTGATGAATAAGAGCTTATGGGGACGGGGCAGTGGTGCTTCGCATGCTGCCTGTTCTTCAAACAGGCAGGTCCCATTGGCTAAAAACTGACCAACGGGATTCTGTCGGGGGCAGGAGTAGCACATGAAGCCTCCCCCTCTCTGCTGGCTCACAGCTGTGAAACACAAATGGCCGATAGTTGCTTTTCTGAGTGACGTGCAGGGGAGGGTCAGGGGAGTCTGCCTGAAGCTTCCTGATGCATCTGCAGGCTGGATGTGCCCTTTGGGCTGTATTTCTCCCAGCTCTGCTCTAACCTGTCTGCTTCACCTAGCTTCTACTTACTGTGGTGCAAAGGGTTGCCAGTGCCAGCCTAGAGCCCTGTTGGAAGAATGCATCACAAGCTGTGCTACACATGCTTCCACCCCCAGCTCTGGTTGTTCCTAGAGTGGCTCTCCAGGACGCACTGCCTTACTTTCAGTAGACATGGACAATAATTGGTCACTGTTAGAGGTGAAAGCAAGGCAAGAAATAATTGATTTTATCTGTAGCAAGGGAGATTTGGGTTAGATACTAGGACAAAATCTCTAACTATAAGAGCAGTTCAACTATAGAATATAATTCCAATGGAGGTTGTAGCATCCCCATTGTTTGAGGTTTTTAAGAAGAGATCCCAAAGTCCCGTCCAGCCCTGCATTTCTATGACTCTATGGTTCTTTGCTATGTGCTAGGGAGCGTAATTTGGTCAAAGGACTAAAATCTATTACTTTTTTAATATATTGAGAATTTAGGAATTTTTTTTTAGTGTTGTATCTGTTTAGCTCGGTTATTCTTGGAGTTTGGGGATATACTAAAT